CAAGGACGCTACTAGTGGCTCCTGGCCTCGCTACTAGGAGCAAGGAAACTACTAGGAACAAGCCATCGCTACAATAGGTTGGCCAGGCCGATGGCGCTGAGGGGTGGGCCACCGATGTTCCAGACACCAGTTCCTGCAATTCGGAGAATGCACTGAACGCACCAAAGGAACCGGAAAAAAAACAGACTTTGCAAATTCTCACAACATATTTTTCTACACTATATATATATATACATACATACCGTATACCGTTTAAAACTGTATATGTTTAATATGTTTGTGACTTGGCCTTGCCTCACTGGTGAGATCCCAGGCTTCCAAGGGATCACTCCTGGGCACCGTCTAGTCCGAAACCATAGAAAATATATCGAAAAATTTAGGCAAAATAGATTGAACGGCACTGGCATGTAATCTGTGAATTTTCTTCAGTTTGCTTCCTCCCAATTCAGATTTCTCGGAGGGCAAGTAAGTTCTCCACTGAAACTTTGGGGATGATGCAATCTGGCCCATATGGATGAAGTGGGCACAAATCTCAGGTAAGCAAAGACATGGATGATTGTTGAAAGTTGAAGATTGCCAAAACATTTGGAAAAATGTTAAAACAAACTGAAGCACAAAAAGACCCACGTGTGGCATGGGTTCACAAAGTTTGGCAAATCTCTCAGATTGGAACATGAATGAAGCTGTTGATGGCAACAAGTGTCGCCACAGCGATGTGGAAAGAGATGGGATCGTCCAAAGGAATCCACCTTACATTCATGCACAGCATTGCCTTTATATGTGTGTATACACATATCACTTCTCGTTTATTGGAAAAACAGAAACGTTTTTTTCGAGCATGTTCAATGTTTTGTTTTTGATCAGGTAAAATCTTTTGTGTATTTCCATACAGACAAATATATCACAAAATCAATTAAAATCACCTCTTTCTCTTGATCGTTGCTCAGCTACTGCGAATGTTGCACGTCTGTGGGTTGTTTCTCAGGTGCGACACTCCCTCGCACGGCCGCCTTTGCCACGAAGTGCCTGTAATTTTTCAACCGCGAACCACACTGAATAAAACCACACTTCGAAAAGCGCTGCCTTTGCTCTAGGTCCCGTGCTGTTTGCAAACTCTTCAAAGTCGGTAGCAACAAGATTGCCAAATCCATGTCTAACCTCAAGACTTGTTTCTTCCAAAGCCTGCGACTCTCAGGCTTGAAACTTTTTTTTCGAACTATTCTGCGTCGCCAAAAAGTAATAAGAGAAGGAAAGGTTGAAAGGCGATATTGACCCTAAGGAGCGCCTTTGCTCACCTTGAACCAAACTAAACGTCGTCCACAGCTTACTGCACAAACGGAGTGAGTTGTGTATGGGCTTTACATGTTGACACCCCTCCTCTTGCGAAGAGCTCTGAGTAAGCCTATTCAAAAAACATGTAAAACATTTGCCGCTGCACTCAGCACTGCTGCTTTAGCTGGAAACCATCTTCACATTCAGCGCTGGGTAGCCGAGTCTGGCCACTGACCTCGCGCGCCTCGGAATTCTCGGAGATAAGGCAGGTGACCGAAAGGAAGTAAATTGGTTGTTGCAGAGAGCAATGGTAAAGGCTCAGCGGCGATAGGAGCCGGCAGAAGGCACGTTGACCTTCTGACCCAGGCATCTGGCTTGGAGAAGGAGAACGGCGGAGAATCGGATGCGAAGAAAACCTCAGACCAACAACGCTTGAGTCGAGGAGTCCGTTGCTAGACAAAGCAGAAGCGTCCAAATACAAGTCTGCGATGAGGGCAGCGTTTACCTATTAGCAAAGCCGGCCCAGCATCTGTCACGCGCAAGAACCTTGCGAGACGTATGGGCCAACAGAAGCCAGTCTGGTTGGATTGAGCCGGTATCTGAAAAGGTACCCTCACAACACTCAATGTTCACCAGCCAAGCAATACGCCAAACAAATTGCGGAGACGCGTTGGCCCAGAAAAACGCAACAGGATGGTCGCCCTATACAGAACACACAAAAGACACAGTTCAACCTGCTGGTTTGGGTCAAGTGCGTTGCGCGCAAACTCGCCACCTATGGTTGCAGGAGCGTGCTTTTAGAACGGCGCTTGAAGGTGCAGCGCGTGCCTGGCAAAAAGAACGAAGCAGGTGTCTTGACAAAGTCTGTACAAAGCACGATCCCTTTCCGATTCGTCCGCAGGCTTTTGCGCTACAAACAAAGCACGATATCGACGCTACGGAGCGCCTTTTCTCACCTTGAGCCAAAACAAACACCGTCCAGAGTGCACACTGAACAAACAGAGTTATGCATGGACCCTACATTTTGACAAAAGGAAAACACGGAAATGTCAAACAACAATAATGATGATAGTAAAAATAGTAATAGTAATAATGATAATAATGATGGCTTTTGTTGCCAATGGGGGAGGGCCATAGTAAGCTTAAGTAGCTAGTGGTGGGGTACACAATTGTTGTGCGGTCCACGCTCTAGCTCATCCCCTTAACTGCAGGGGTGGGGAGCATCCTTGAAGCGATTTGGTTCCTAGATGTTGGGGAGAACTTAATGATTTGGGACAAAAAAAGAGAAGGGAAGTATGTTTAGGTCTAGTAGCTGACACGTTTACTAGCTTCTTCGTCTCCCCCAACACGGCCAACGGTCCAAACAACTGTGCTTATCTGCAATCAAAATACGCAAAACCGGCCCCTTTGGCCAGTGGAAATGCGAAGGACTCCTGGAAGCCAAGTCCTGAAACCGAAACCGAAAACGAAAACGAAACCCGAGACGCTGGCGCTGAACTCCGCTCAGTCTGCATTTTGCAAGGTTCATTTAGCTTCATGGTTGCGGTCTTTTCCCACTTACTCAGCACCTTATCTCCTTTTGCCTCTGTCTTGTCTTCCTTTGTTTTTGCCAGTCCTACATGTATCATATAGCCCCCCACAAACGAGGCCAAGTTCAACAGAATCAACACCAGCATCGCCACGCGCTGTCCTGTTGACACTTGGAACAAGAAGCTACTAGTAGCGATGCACTTGTTTCTACTAGCTTCTTGTTACTACTAGTAAGGCACTTGTTACTAGTAGCGATGCACTTGTTCCTAGAAGCTTATTGTTCCTAGTAGCGATGCAAGAGGTTGGATTGAAAACAGCAAAATCAGCAGCACATGTTGTCTGTCACCCTCCTTCTCCTAAGCCCATGTGCACCAAGCAAGCAACAAACCTTGAGCTCTTGCTCCTCGTGCATCTAGCTTGCATCTTGCACAAAATCCTTGGTTTGGTGCATTGTTTGGTTCCACCAATTCTTTCTCCTCGGATCTGCCATGTCTTTGTCTTCCACCTGATTCTCCGAACTATCGATGGAAGACATCACCTCTGTTTCACTGTCCGAATAGCTTCTTGTTACTACTAGTAAGGCACCTGTTACTACTAGCGTGGCACTTGTTACTACTAGCTTCAGGCATGTTAACCTTATGGCGTTTGTATGGAGAAGAGGACAAGAGACATGCGGACGTGTAGCAGTGACACAGGGACCACAAGTCCAAAAAACGGTTCTACCGGGTCCGACACCCATGGAAGCTAGTAGAAACAATAAGCTACTAGGAACAAGTGCATCGCTACTAGTAACAAGTGCCTTACTAGTAGTAACAAGAAGCTATTAGAAACAACAAGCTAGTAGCGATGCACTTGTTACTAGGGTCCGACACCCATGGAAGGATGTGTGGAGCATCCGGTGCATTTTATTGAAACCTACGGACTTCACTTCGCCAGGTTTGCGTAGGGGCTCCTGGCCTTACTAGGAGCAAGAACGCTACTAGGAGCAAAGGGCATCGCTACGAACGGAGCGATCGGACGCTACTCCTTTTCTTGTTTGGATAAAAGAACGAAGAGAGACCACAGCACTCATCAGCTTTCACCGAGCCAACTACTTCTCATGAACCACCCATATGTCAACCACACCGCTCCGGCCTTTTCTGCCTGAAGTCCCTCCCCCTTCGCTTCCTTCGTTTTGTCTTCCTTCTCTTCTGACACACCTTCGGCAAGAAAACCCGAGAGCTGCGTTCTTGTTCAAATGTCTTTCAAATTGTCACTTCTCTTTCTGTTCTCGTTTTTGTGCTACAGTGTCTAAGTGCCAGCCTGCGTTCAGGGCTTTCCATTTCGCGCGTTCTTCCCGCTTCCATTCTTTGCGCTTCTCAATGGCAGCATTTAGCCGTTGCTGCCCAACTAAGTAGCCTCAATATGTTCAACAGCTTAGGATCAAATACTACAAAACATAGAAGCGTGGATTTGCGGAACGGCAAAGCTCTAGACTTGTCAACACTGGCTTAGGCTAAGCTAAGGGCGCAGAACACACAAGCGGGGGCGATGCCTACTCCACATGAAATGGATACACACGTTTCATTGTGGGCCCACACAGACAGAGAGAGAGAGACAATTCAATCATTACTTAATGACACGGAAGAACCTCTCCTCTTGGAGAAGAGCCAAGAAGAAGGGTTCTTGTAGGCGTACACCTGAACAAGAATGGGCAGGTGTCAAAGCTCAGCAAAAATAGAACTCGCCGCTAGGGGATGCACTGCGGCGCATAAGTATGCAACCACCATGCAAAACACGGCCAACCCAGCCACCAGAGCAATCACCTGAATATAACGACACTGACAATGGAAACACTGGAAGTGTTTTCTTTCGATCCAATTTGTTTTACCAAGATCCTTCATAAGACGTAGTTGCCGGTCGTTTATTGCACCTCCCCAGTGCTCCAACTGCGCGGGATCACATGGATGGTTGCCTGTGAGAAAGTTCACGGCCGCCAAGCATGCATGATTCTCAGCCGCAGTGATCGTCATTTTTTCGAGAGAAACCGCCACTCGTCGCCTTCTGCGATCTGTTGGAAAAGTCATTGTTCCGTGTACTAGCGACCTTGTGAAAACCAACTGGCACAAGAAACCGAAGCAAACAGCGCAAAACAATAGTGTTCTTGCGTGTTCTCCCACTTTCAAGTTCCAGGGCCTTATGTTGGCCAACGGTCTGCATCTGCACTATACCTCATCGAGGACACATCTTCGACTCTGAATACGCGACAAACACCGACGGCAAACACTCTCACCTCCATCAAAATATGCCGTCGCACCTGGCCAGCAAGCCCAAACCGAACCGAAGCAACCAAAGATGACAACAACGGCTCGGGGACTGGCACGATTGCGTTGTAAAGAAAACTGTAAGTCTACAAAATTCTTAATTGCACGCGAAAAAGGAGTAGGTATAGATATCGTTGTCGCCCCGCGACTGAACACAGATGCACCTGCTTAAGGATGGGGCATCGAATGTGCATGGACAATCTAAAGAAATACTCGTTGTCCAGGACGCCGACGGAAACAACAACCCTGATGGCATCGCCGGCGCGCAAAGCTCTACAATAAGGCAGGTGATGGGCACATTATAGGATAGGCGGGTTTGACCAGTTTAATGGTTCAACAATACCGAAGCCAAAGTCCATCGAAGTCTGTTGTACTCGACCTTCGTTGCGGCATATTGTGTATGAACCCAGTGCAGTGTGTGAGAAGTGTTTGCAACTTGCGTCATATTGTACAATTGTGCCAGAATGCACCATTGAGCTGCTTGCAATTCTGGACCGAATTCTGGTCATTGTCATCAATCTCGCATAAATCCGGCCGCTGGTCAAGGTACGCAAACCTGCAGCGGAAGAGATTGCTGAAAATCACCTAAAGATCTGAAATGCCTTGTAAGCAAAGCCTTTCCTTCAGCTGTTGGATTTGCTATTGCGTTGTAGAGCCTCATGAACTGAACAAAACATAAAAAGCATCAACTGACAAGACTGCCTTCAATAGTGTGAGCTTGAGACAAAGTGTGTTCGTTCCAGGGTAGTGGAACGTTCTCCTGGCACAAGTGGAGCCCTCCATCTGGGCCCGTCGGTCCTCCATTTCAGTCCGCGTCCTCTCGGTCGGCCAGCTGCACAAGGTTCGAACGGTCCGTACTTTGCCGACCATTCCCAGCGTTGCCCTGGGGAAGAGTGACGGGACAACAACACATCAACGAAAACTGCACAGTTCCGGGAGAAGTCCCTTCTCTCCTGTTCATCTATCATCTGGACTACGCACGAAACAAGTAAACTGCGAACACAACAGAGGTGCCCAACATCAAATGTTTCACTGGTTCGTTTCATATACCCAACCATCGTGTCACGAACCAATCACCTGGTCAAGTTCCGAGGCACCAAACAGAGCCAAGGAACATATGAGAACACAGCTTTTCTTTGTGGCAAAAAAACAAGCATTAGAACGCTGAGCGTAGCATTACATCCCTGACCGGGCGCAGTGCTGTGCTTTAAGGTCCTAGTAGGATTTTGTTTGCTAGTAATTACAATTCTAATTAAATTCTTATTGTTACTAGTAGTAAGGCACTTGTTACTAGAAGCGATGCACTTGTTACTAGTAGCTTCTTGTTGCTAGTAGTAAGGCACCTGTTACTACTAGCATGGCACTTGTTACTGTGCTCATCGTGTGGCGAGATCCTCGATCCTCCACCGTCGAAGCGTCAAACGGTGCCGAATTGGGTCGACGCGTCAGACAACCGTCACACGGGGTGTCCAGACTGGACACAGTGACGAAGGACTCAGAACCAAAACCGGAAACTGGGGTAAGTTCTCAGGTTCCCAGGGAGAATTTGAAGTACTCAAAATGCGTTAAAACATATTCAGTTGCACACATAATATCTTGATATATCTTGCAAAGGGAGAATCAGGGCTCCAACATCCCCAGGCACAGAACCACTCTGGATGCTCGCCAACAAGATACAGTGCTGATACTTCTGAACACAGTACTGTACTCACGGTCCCATTCATACGACGGAGCGCCTTCGCGTTTGCATCAGAGCCAGTCCTGCCCGTTGAAGATGTTTCCACCCTTTCTTTTCCGTTGGAGTTGAAGAAAAGGACCGTGAAGGGAGGCGGTCGGAGGCGGTCGGCGGTCCATTGGAAGTGCAAGTAATCCCCAACTTCCACGGTGAGCTCCTCAGGACACGTGTTGCGAAATAAACACAAACTGCTCTCCACAAGTGTCTATTTCAGTCGGTCCTGGGGCACAAAATCATATTCTACAGAAGGGTACACCTCACCGACCATGAGCACAGCTGTTTTTTTGTTCAGGACTGGAGAACTATTTTTATAAACGGAGAAAAGAAAAGAAAGGGAAAACCACGACACCAAAAGGCATTGATTTGTCACAATCATCGCGCCTGGACAATATTTCCTCGTCGACCACGCACATTGTAGTTGACAATGCGAGCCGAACTACTCACTTCAGCAGGCCGGCTCCTAACGCTTCTTTTTTGCGGAGCAAAACTGTTTCGTCCTTTGCTCCGTTTTGCTCCGCTTGGCTTGTCAATCGCGTTTCACTTCTGTCCTAACGAAGAAGGTATGTGTCCTTGAAGCAAAGTGGAAGCGCAAAGAGTGAGTTGGAGCCTTTCGCGGACCTATCTTCGAAGGTCCGGCCATACTGGTTGGTATTGACCTCAACACGGCACAAAAATGCAGCGGAGATGGCAACACAACACTTTTGGACAAATGCGTGTGTTACCGTAGGTTCGTGTTCAACAAATTTGCCATAACCTGTTGCATCATGTTGCATCATGTTGCATTCTGCTCCCTGTTGCCTGCAGCTGCAAGCGGTAGTCCTCTCCAAGATCCAACCAGTCTCCCACTGGATCTTGCGGAAGAATGGGAGGTCCACCCTGAAGGGATGTGCGAAGTTTGCGCAAGGTTTTGCCCTTTCCAAAATTTAATAGCCTGTTTGTTTGAAAAGCGTTCTAAAACTAAACAAAAAAAGGATTCAACAAAGCAAACTTGAGGCCGAGGGTTGGTGACGAAAGCTAGCAGGGCGGGGGTGAAGCGGGTGACAGTTGGCCCACTATGCCAGCGGAAACACACACTTGCCAGAGACGTCCCAGGGAGGAGTTGAACCTGCGGGGGAGGGGGGATGAAGTTTTCATGCGATGCGGCGCTCTCGAGGATTCCAGCCCCTCACTTGCTAAACTCCAGCTTGCTGGCGCTAGCTTTCGTGATGTCGAGAGAACAAAACGTCGCATCTCTGAAAATAGAAAACTGTCTTGGGGCGGTTCACTATGCGCGCAACGGTGCACTTTTCCACAGAGCAAGTTTGAGGCGCTGATTTCAAGCCAGGTGAACTAGAAACTAGAAACTGCTGTCATTCCGTTGTCGATCACACAGTTTCCAACTCGTTCATTCCTCAGGTCAAGTTTTTGCTTAGACCGCTAGAAGTCTGGAGCATCCATCGTCGGCCCTCCGTTTGAGGATTCCGCCACGCGACGCTACATGAAGGCCAAATCCGGTTGCAGTGATCCCCGCAAGCCGGGCCATACTACTAGGAGCAAGGACGCTACTAGGGGCTCCTGGCCATACTACTAGGAACAAGGGCCTTACTACTAGTAACAAGAATTAGAATAGATTTAAAGGTAATTAGAAACAAGTGCCACGCTAGTAGTAACAAGTGCCTTACTACTAGTAACAATGTTTGCTAGTAGAAACAAGAAGCTAGTAATTAAGTTTAATTAGAATTCAAAATTAGCAAAGGAATCTACTACGACCGGTTGCAGTGATCCCCGCAAGCCGGACACTGGTTGCCGCGTTGACCTGTTAGCATCGATGAAACACATATGCTAAAACGTATGCGAAGACGACAGGTATTAAGAGTCACACTGGCAGGTATGGCTTGCAAACAACCAAATGTTTATTGATGTGATTGGATGTGTGTGTTTTATTTGTATTCCAAATCTGTACTAATTGTGTATTGTTTTTGTGCCTCACCTGTTTGCTGTATTGTTGTTCAGTGTTTCTTTTGTGAAGGTTGGGTTGGTGAGGTGTAAGCTGTAAGCCTGTAAGCTTGGCTGTTGTAAGCAGTAGAGGCTAACACATTAAGAAGCTACTAGGAGCAAAGGGCATCGCTATTGGGAGCAAGGACGCTACTGATTTGTCAAGATTTTTTCTGAAGAGCCTTCCAAAAAGGCTTTCTGAAGAGCCTTCCATCTGTTTCTGCCCGAACTCTTCAGAAAAGCTGGCCAGACCCCGACAAAGGGTACATCATGGGTACACATGCCAAGTTGCAACTTAAGTTCGGGCGAGCTATGTAGAATAAGTACGATTAATGAGCACACGGTATCGGACTGATTTCAGTCTTAGACTTCCGCCTCTGCCCTGTCAGGCAGCAAGTCGTGTTCTTTGTCCCTATGGTTCTTTTTTGAGAGTAAACAGTCTTGAAAGTAACAAAGGTAAAAGGAAAGGAAAGGTCTTGCAAAAACGCTATTGCGGCCGACACGGACAGCTGCGCCTTGAAAACTGTTCGGCGGCGTTGGCCTGGAGCGGGATCGTTCATGGCCTGAGACGATCGTTCGAAAGCGACAATGACGAACCAATCGAAAGCGAAAGAGAAAAGCAAAAGATTGGTTCAAGAAAGCTGTCAGCTTGAAACATGGACCTTGTTCACGTGGAAGTAGTCGTCTCCCGCATCCAGGCTGACGTGAACAAGCGTTCAAACTCGGAAGCCATCGGACCCAGACAACGGCACCTTCCAGTGGCGGGGCCATTCTGGGTGGCCAGAGCACTTTGACGAAAGTCACCGCTGGTCATGTTGTATCGCAAGCGGAGAACACACCCTGGCAGAACACGTCGGCAGCAGCGGCACTCTTTTCGCACACTGGAAAAACATGTGGAGGGCTGCTACCCTCCTCAATGTGGTCAGGTATCCTGTCCGACCAAGTTGCATTTGGTGACACTGGAGTAGAGAGTATCTCAAAGTGGCAACGCAAACAGGCACTTGCTTGCAACTAGACCAAGAAAAAGGCTTGAGCAGTCCTCCACAAGTAGTAGTTAGGCCTTCCTCCTCGTGCATTGCCATTGTGATTGTCCCGGGAGGAGACCCCTGCAACCTAAGCGGACGGCACAAATGACTTCGAGCTATCTGGGGAAAGCGATAAAGGATAAAAGAAAGAAACTAAGTTCTGATCAAAAAGGCAAAAGTGAGAATGTGATCATGTGTCATTTTTTCACATGTAAAATGTGAAGCAAACAACAGCATGACAACTCAGCCACTGACGCAGTCCGGTGCTGGCTCATTAAAGGCAGGCATCTCCTCAGAGGATTTGGTTCGCATGGTCGGCAACAAATGCCGGAAACATCAAAAACAGATCGAAAAACAATTGGCTTCATCTTTCAAGTACTAAACCATATCGACTCACGTTCAAGCCCAATAAAACGCGAAACCCTTTTCTTAAATAGAAGAAAAGGTTTCGGAAAACATCAGCGCATTGACCGGCTGTCAATTCAACATTGAGAACTCGGAGTCCAAATCAGGCCTCACAAACGCAACCAAAGAAGCAAAACAAACGAAGTTGACACACCTGCAGCACCTGCACCTTTCCAACAACATGGGAAACACATGCACAAAAGAAACTGGAGAACGACATCCTAAGGACGGCGCTGAGAACGGGTGGGCGGTGGTTTTTAAGGGGCAACCAGCCCACCCCTTCCACCCAAGCCCAGGTCGCACACCGTACCCATGCTCACCACAGTGTACGTATCGAAATGTCGTGGAAAGTGTACTCAGCTAAAATAAATTAATAGCTTCTTGTTACTACTAGTAAGGCACTTGTTACTAGAAGCGATGCACTTGTTCCTAGTAGCTTATTGTTACTACTAGCTTCTTGTTACTACTAGTAAGGCACTTGTTACTACTAGCGTGGCACCTTGTTACTAATAGCTTCTTTGCTGATGTGATTGCACTGGCATCCTTTCCTGGTGCCCTAATCTTCTGCATCTTCCACTTCAAATCAGGCCGGAATCGTGCTCCGGCACACTGTTTGTACTTCATCTCTCGTTCTGAATGGAATGCACTGCAACATTCATTGCAGCGGGTGCTCAAGTGAACTGCATAGGTTTCCGTCCGCTTGGGATTTGTCTCACTTGCCGCATATCTTGCAAGGGAACTGCAGCTAGTCTGTCTGGTGTTTGGGGCGGGCTGGTTTCGCCTGCTAATTTATCAGGAGCAGGGTTATGCGGGGTGTAGCTATCGACCGAAGCTGAGAAAAAATATATATGCCAAAAACAATTGTGAGCAGCACCGTGCAGCAGCACCCTGCAGCTCCACCAGCACCCAGCCTCCAAAAGCGCATTCGAAAAAATGTGCGAGCTGAGCCAAGGGTCTTTCCACTCTGCACCAGCATCTTGGCAAGATTCAGGGTTGTTGTGCTCTGGTTCGCTGCAATAGCCTTGCATACGACGCAGGATAGCTCACGCTTCCTTTTGTTCCTAGATTTTTAGGGAAACTTAACTATAGCAAGTAGGATTTGAACTCGGCCTTTGCTGTGCACATTTTGGGATTCCTTTTGGTAGTACTCGCACCGCCGAGGCCTCAGCCGTGTGTAGAAACTGTGTTTCTTGTCACATGTGTGTAAGAAACCAAACACTATATGTTTAAAGCATGTCTACAGCAAAGCATTCCACTACAAAGGTGTAAAAGGAATGAAACTAATATTGCACAATCAAGCAGTGGAATATATGCAGGTAGCAACATCCACTTTGACTGTCTCAAAGCCCGTCACGATTCATCTGTGATGATTGCAATGTCATGCCAAGGGGTTGGATGCCAATAGGGGTAGTAGTCCCTCTCCTGCAAACATGCCAAGTCCCAAACTCCATTCTTCCAATTGAACGAACATGAAAAACCAAGAGCCCCTCCTTGCTTCTAATAGCGATGCCCTTTGCTCCTAGTAGCGTCCTTTCTCCTAGTAGTAAGGCCAGGAACCCAAGTAGCGTCTTTGTTCCTAGTAACGATCCCTCAGAACTCCATTCTTCCATGTGTTCTCTTTGACGAATGAAACCGTCCTCGGGGCATTCCAAACCATGTCGGTTGTTCGCCTCACCGACGTGACGGTGAGGGACGTCGCTTCGAGCTTCGCGCGAAGCCAGGTGCCCGGCGTTGTTGCCGTTGGGGTTCTGCCTGCGTTGCTTTTTTCAGCTCAACTGCACTTGTTACTACCAGCTTCTCGTTACTACTAGTAAGGCACCTGTTACTACTAGTAAGGCACTTGCTACTACTAGCGTGGCACTTGTTACCAAAACGCGGGGTGTCAACTGCACGTCCCTTGTCTTGATGAGAATGTTCTGAGAAAAGAAACGAAACCGAAAACAAGTCGCATCTTTACAGTCCCAGCAAAAACTACCAAATGCGCTCAGCTGAGCTCTCTGATGAATGGTATTGCGTTTGTTGAAACAATGCGTTCCGTGACCTTTCCCCAAAAGAATCGACTCGCTATTCAGGTAGTGCTGCTTCTGACATGTGGGGCAAGAGGTAATGCAAAGGGCCTGTGGGCCTTCTTGTCCCCACCAGTCTGGGCAAATACGCGTGAAATATCCAATGACTCTGTGCTACCGGGGCGTCGCGGACTGTGTGCAGAAATGTGTTGTCGGAAAGTGATTACAAAAAATTGAGATGTGGAACGAGGTTTGCCACTCGATTGAAAAAAAATACAGCGCTTCGAAATCTGCATTTTGAACACCTTTCGACCTTGAAAACGCGCGACGCCTGAGTGGGGTCGATCCCTAGTTGAACTGACAACAAGCCCTACTCCACGCCCCAAGGCTAAACTGGCCTCTGAGACAGGCCTACACGATTGAAAGGATTTCTGCCCTCTGATCTCTGAGCCGCACACGTGCATTCAAGATTCAGCAACATGTGGTTTGACTTTCTAAGTCAAAACCTATACGAATTCACAAGGCTGTTGCCAAGTTACAATTACGACTTTGGAATTCTTACGCACTTCTAACAAATCTCATGACTGACACTGCGTGGCACGTCCACACCATACAATTGGTGCCCAGCCCCTGTGGCTGCAATTCAATACACCAATGCTGGTATCCAAATACCCTAGTAGCGTCCTTGCTTCTAGTAGCGATGCCCTTTGTTACTAGTAGCTTCTTGCTCCTAGTAGTAAGGCCAGGAGCCCCTAGTAGCCTCCTTCCTCCTAGTAGCGATGCCCTTTGTTTGCTCCTAGTAGTGATGCCCTTTGCTCCTAGTAGCTTCTTGCTCCTAGTAGTAAGGCCAGGAGACCCTAGTAGCCTCCTTGCTTCTAGTAGCGATGCCCTTTGTTACTAGTAGCTTCTTGCTCCTAGTAGTAAGGCCAGGAGCCCCTAGTAGCCTCCTTGCTCCTAGTAGCGATGCCCTTTGTTACTAGTAGCTTCTTGCTCCTAGTAGTAGGGCCAGGAGCCCCTAGTAGCCTCCTTGCTCCTAGTAGCGATGCCCTTTGTTACTAGTAGCTTCTTGCTCCTAGCAGTAGGGCCAGGAGCCCCTAGTCAAGGAGGCTCCTAGTAGCGATGCCCTTTGTCACTAGTAGCTTCTTGCTCCTATTAGTAAGGCCAGGAACCCCTAGTAGCCTTTTTGCTCCTAGTAGGGATGCCCTTTGTTACTATTAGCTTCTTGCTCCTAGTAGTAAGGCCAGGACCCTAGTAGCCTCCTTGCTCCTAGTAGCGGTGCTCTTTGCTACTAATGGCTTGTTGCTCCTAGTAGTAAGGCCAGGAGCCCCTAGCAGCGTCCTTGCTCCTAGTAGCGGTGCCCTTTGTTACAAATAGCTTCTTGCTCCTAGCAGTAGGGCCAGGAGCCCCTAGTAGCCTCCTTGCTCCTAGTAGCGATGCCCTTTGTTACTAGTAGCTTCTTGCTCCTAGTAGTAAGGCCAGGAGCCCCTAGTAGCCTCCTTGCTTCTAGTAGCGATGCTCTTTGCTACTAATGGCTTGTTGCTTCTAGTAGTAGGGCCAGGAGCCCCTAGTAGCCTCCTTGCTCCTAGCAGCGATGCCCTTTGTTACTAGTAGCTTCTTGCTTCTAGTAGTAGGGCCAGGAGCCCCTAGTAGCCTTCTTGCTCCTAGTAGCGATGCCCTTTGTTACTAGTAGCTTCTTGCTTCTAGTAGTAGGGCCAGGAGCCCCTAGTAGCCTCCTTGCTCCTAGTAGCGATGCCCTTTGTTACTAGTAGCTTCTTGCTTCTAGTAGTAGGGCCAGGAGCCCCTAGTAGCGTCCTTGCTCCTAGCTCTACCGAATAAGCCACACTGTGTGCAAACCCTGAGGTGTCAAAAAGACCGCCGCGCCGCATGCCTCGTGGCTGTGGCGCCCCGGTCGTTGTTCACATTTTGATCTGCCTTGGGGCGGCTTGAACTCCAAACAAAGACGCAAAAATGAATGGCCAGGCTGTCAAGCAAAGTTGAAGAACAGCGAGACAAAGGCTTGTTTAGAAATGCAATCAAACACACAAGAAATGCCAAAAGGCCCACACAGCACACAACAAAAGGAAAACTGAGGCCGCACACTGTGTACAAGCCTTTCTGACGTTCATGCCTAGGCGGTCAATTCGCTTTCGCTTGGCCCTTCGGTCGGCCTTGGCCTCTGTAGGCCTTCTTCGATTTCTTGGGCGTTCAATCCCCTGTGTTTGATGGCTAAATACTCAAACAATCATACAGTTTAGCCATTTAACAGTTTTGATTATCCCTGAGACACCGACGCCTTGCAATCAAGGTAGAAACTCAATGGTTCATGTTGTCCCAAAGCTGGTTCATTTGCCTCAAAAACGTATTCAATCACAACTGGGTTCCAAGAGGTTTCTATCCAAGTGGCACCTACAGTTCATCTGCTGTTGACTAGCCGTGACTGGCTGGCCATCTAAACAAAAAATGGAAGTCAAACTCTCAACAACAGCGGATCCACTCTAAGCCAAGCGATGTCGAAAGTGGGAAACAACAAAACGACTGTGCCAGCAACCAGCACTTGCCCATTGAGCCCTAAACAAAAGGTCGAACGAAACAAAAACGAATATCAAGTTTATGAAGGGGAAAGGTGAGGCAATGCTGAAGGCGAGAGTGCCACTACTTAAACAAACAAACGGAAACACCTCAATGAACAATTGTCGGGGTGTGTGCGCCTGAATGGCAGTTGGCGGCTCCTGCGAACTGAAATTGGGAGCTAGGGCAGAAGTGACTGAAGATTTTGGGTGTCAATGTGTGCAAGTGTATGTATGCGTGTGTGCTATCAAATCAATATTCGATATTGGTAGCCTCCTCACCGAATCCTCCACTTCAAGAACGGCTGACCACACAGTCCTTGGTCTTGACCTCAGACCCAGGTGGCCTCACCAACAATCCCGCACCCGGCCGCGATCTTTCCCTGCGGTCTCGCGCATGGTTCCAAGCCCACGCCACTCACGCGAAAATCCACCGAGAGGCACAAGTGTCCTTGATGCAATACGGTCTGAAAAATCAATGCCGGACTCTTCACGCAATTCAATCAACTCACTGAGCTCCAGCTCTTGCAGCCCACAAGATCCAAGGAGTTCCGCGACGATGATGCAAGATGACATGGCGCTCCGATCTGAAGAAATAGATTGCCATCTGCGAAAGGCTTGAGCAAAAGAAAGCTGGGATCTGAGCGTAGCTCTAATCTTCAACGGCTGCCCTTGAGCGCCCTCGAGCCGGAATGTTGGACCTTACCCAAACCACTTCCAGTAGTGAAGGCAACAATGAAAGGTGTGCGTCGATCGAACTTGAAAACTCTCATCTGCGCGCGCATTTCCGGCACAAAGCCACTCATAGAAGACGGGTCGTCTGTGAGGTGCTCCGCCAAAATTGGATCGCGCCTCGCTGAACACAAAACGGTCACGAAAATAGTTCAAACGGGCGGCAACTTCATGTGTTCTAACCCTCCTGACCGTCCTTCCTCCATTTGCTGTTGAACTCACATCCTCTTGCGGCCGTCTTGCGTCATCCTTTTGTCGATCGGACGCTTGTTTCGCCAATGACCTGTTTGACCACCTGCCCTTGTTTTCGCCATTAGATGTTCCTGTCTGCTGACCTGTGACGCTCTCGCAGTTGCTCTTGCCTTTCTTGCCTTTGTCTTTGAACTAGGAGCTAGCACCTTTTCACGTGTTTGACCAGAAACTCTGCTTGCCTTTGCCAGTCTTTCCTTGTCCTCCTTCTCCGGGGCTCTCCTTCCACGCGTTGCTGGGTCTTACACAATTCGTATTGAACCGGACGCTCGAAGAAGCACTCCCAACAAAACATCTCGATCGAACGCTTTCCTGGAAGAATGGCACGCTCCTGAATTACAAGGCTTCCAACCGCACAAGCCCCCGTCGACTGTCCACGTTGATCCATGCTGCCGACCGTCCAACTCAGTGAAATCAAGATGACAATTTACCTCCCTGATCATTCTCCAACACATTCTTTCTTTGATCTCCTCTTCCCGATCTGACAGTCTGAGCTGCACGTCCTCAATCTGGATCACAGGCGCTTCCTACTTCCGTGGGAGAACCGTCTCCCAACCAAATGGGCAGTTGAGAACATCACGCGCCGAATACGTTGACTGCTCTGTCGCCCACATGCCCGATTGAAAGCCGAAGACAAGGGCCACCCAAGCTGCACATTGAATTATATCATGAAGTCTAGCAAACTCAATGCCTGTCTTCTCTCACCTTCACGTAAATCCTATCGGCGCGCTGACATCCCTCACAGAAACCGCTCGTACATCCTGAAAGCGTCCATCACCTTCTCCACACGTCCTACAGGCTGCGCGCCGCCTATGTTCTACAACATCAGTGGCTGACAAAAACCAGCCTTAACCAGATTGCGCAACACCAGGTCATTCCTCTCACGCAACACAACCGATCCCAAGTTCGGCCCTAGAAACATTGCCCAAGCTACACAAGCGATGAGCAGGGCAGGGCAACAAGACCTTCTGAAGAAAAGGGCAAGAAGAAGAAACCGCACGCCCCATCCTTACAAGCAAAAGGAGTGAACGTTAGCTCCCGCTAGAACCTCAATCTCACAGAGACCTTGGCGGCGCTGCACTGTCTATAGGAAGGTATGCGAAGAACCCAGAACGGGCACACCTCGCAATCGCAGAATCTAATTTGGCCGCATGGTCTGCAACACGCTACGGCTAGATGCAACAATGTAACATTATAATCATTATATAGGCATTGCGGGCGCCGCCAATCATCCCAAAGGCTTGGCGTGGATGTCTGCCACCGGGAACGCCGCGCCAATCTGCCAAACTCAAAGGCTACCCTCTGCTACCTTCTCTTGGCACCAAAGCAATTCGCCGTTGTCTTGCAAGCAATCTGTCTTGTTGCAGAGTTGTCCACCTCAGTAAGGAAGGAACTCCAGGCTACGCTTGAAGCAGACATTCAACTCACTCTCTGCTGGGCTCAAACTGAAGGTCTTCTGGCTTGAGCTTGCGTGCGCAATGATGCCATTGACTGCACGCACTGTTGAAGATGTAGACCACCTCGTGCTCTGAATTCCTGACCAGTCTGCATCACTGAATCTTTGTTGGGCTCGACATCCCTCCTGCCAACTTTTGGAAATATCGAAGCGCTCCTGAACGCGTAGATTCCCACGCCAACCACTGATCTGTAGACCGAAGCTGACGGTGCATCAGTCAGGTTCGAGTTGTCCACATCTTGGATGTCTGCAGTGGCTGGAACCTTGAAGAGCGAGATCATCTTAGTGGCATACTAACTGTCCGGGCTTCACCGCAAGACCCTCTGCTGTCAGCTTGTTACGCTTCAAGCAGGAAAACTTCCCCTGTTGTTCTGCCACAGGTCGCGGCCTTTCCTCTTCCAGTGAACATAACGTCACCCACATGGATCGACAAATATACACGGTCTCCTCCTGATCCCGATCTCCCCAAACAATATGTTCGCAACATTACAAAGACAAAGCCATGGTCCTCCACCAGATGCGGTCCCACTAGCTCATACCATGCTCATGCTCCTGCTCTGGCCTGGTAGATTCTTGAGCGCCTCGCGCTTGCCAATGTTTGTCTCCTGGCGTACCTGCAGGAACGCATCCTTGATGTCAAGGGCCTGGGCTCCAATCACTGCTTTGCCATGACTGCTCCCCATCTCCTCATCCATTCTCTTCATCGTCGGTAGAGATAAATATGTCTCTCTGCCATGATCCGGGTCCTGACCCTCCAGTCTCATACAAGCTTCGTTGTGAGCTTGTCCAAGACCAAGTCAGCTGTTTCCAGATCTGCGCTGCTATCACTCCCATCTTCCTCAGCCGCTGTTCCTCCACCTTGTCTGCAATCTCTTCGATCTCCTCATTGTCTTTAAATGCATCCTGTTCAACGGATCTGAGCGCATCGGGAATGATGCCAGGTCTCAAGATCATCATCATCACAATCTTTTTCCTGTGGCAATGTCTCCACGTCCAACACCTCGTCCAAGTGTTACATGGTGTCCCATCACCTGAGGTCACTTCTTCCACCTGTCTCACTCATCTCAACTCTCGCACTTGAGCTCGATGAACCTCCGCCTTTTTCCTCCCCAATGTTCTGGTTCTTGGATCTTCCAGTCTTACCATCTTGGCTTCAGGATCACTCTTGACAGCCGTAGGTGGTGGCGGCGTCTGCCTTCTCTCCTCAACGCTAGCAGATGAATCTTGATAAGAACAACTGATCCTGAGCTCTCTCCCGCGCTCCGTGACTCTTCCTCTTCCTCTTCCTCTTCGTCTTCTTCTTCTCCTTCTCCTTCTCCTTCTTCTTCTTCCTCCCCCTCTCCCTCTTCCTCTTCCTCTTCCTCTTCCTTCCTCTTCCTCTTCTTCTCCCTCTTCCTTTTCCTCTTCCTCTTCCTCTTCCTCTTCGTCTTCCTCTTCCTCTTCCTCTTCCTCTTCCTCTTCCTCTTCTTCTTCCTCTTCCTCTTCTTCCTCCTCTTCCTCCTCCTCTTCCTCTTCCTCTTCCTCTTCTTCTTCCTCTTCCTCTTCCTCTTCCTCTTCCTCTGCCTCTGCCTCTTCCTCTTCCTCTTCCTCTTCCTCTTCCTCCTCTTCTTCTTCCTCTTCTTCTTCGTCTTCTTCTTCAACGCCTTCCTTCGATCTGGCATAGTCCACTGCGGCCTTTGCCTCCTCATCTCATCCAAGGGCGTTATGCTGCACGCTCATCTTCAAAGGAATAGTCCTGCTGCTCTCTTGGAAGGGACTATCCTTCCCCCAAAGTTCACCTGATGGCTTCGTCCTCCCTTTTGTCCTTTCCCTTCTCCTGGATCTGGTCAATCTCCATGGCAACGGCTCCATCTTTTTCCACCTTCTTGTCCCAGGATCATTGCATCGCATATCTGCCGTGTCATACTGGATGATGGCCTATCTCACCAACTTCGCTCCGGTCTCCGCATGGGCCTCCTCCAATCGAAGAAATTGGTTCAAAAGGTTGCCCTTCTTCATGTCGATCTGGTTCCACTCCCGAATCATAGAGTTAAGAGACCAAGCAACTTGTTCTTGCTCGTAGGCTCGAAGCTTTGCACCAACGGCTCCTTTATCTGCTTGATGAGGGACAGTGTATCTAGCTGCACTCCTCTGTTCTGCAAGTCCACCGCTATCTGCCCGTTCACATTCTCGCTCATCTCCTTGATGTCGTCGGTGTAGTTGCTGTCCCGGCTTGAGAGGCACTGTTCCAAGATTGAATTGAAACCTCCACATTGTGAGCTCATCCTCACGGCTTTTCAGTTCAACCACTGGTGGCTTGGGCAAGATCCTGGACCAGCTCTTGTCCTCAGGTCCTGACTTCTTCGACACAGCCTCTGCCACTGACCTGGCAGCTTGGCTCGCTGTAGAAGTCGAAGCGCTAGTTCCGAACCATCAATGGCCGGTGCCACTGAGCCAGCTGGAGATCCAGCCACTGGCGAACTACCTGCTGTTCCCAGTCCTGCCACAAGCTCACCCTGGATGTACTCAGAAGACCTATGGCAAAGCTCAAGGGCGCGCGTCACCGCCCTGGGGGTTTGGGTCCTGCCCCCTCAACTCAAAAAGATCCCTGGAGCTCCACCCAAAGCCAAAGCAGTGGGCTTCTCAGCTCCGTTACCATGCAGATCTTTTGGGCACACAAATGGCGGTCTGTGCGGTGCATATGATTTGCGCGTGTCGTCTTTAATGAACCATGAGTGCTTCCATCATGGATTCTTAATCATGCCCGGACTCTTTAAAAAAGAGAGAGAGAGAGAGCGAGCGAGCGACCGAGCGAGGAGGTGAAAACAGTACATTCGGATTCAACATTCAATGTTTAGCTCCTCTTCTCCGCCCGCTGTGTTGTCATTGCCACGCTTCGTGCCATCACGCAAGGCCGGATTGTCTTTCTCACACATGTACTGCAACACCTGATGTTCAGCCCATGAAGGTGATATTTGCTACGTTACTCAGTTCCCTTCGAAAGTTCATGATTTCGCGTTTCTTTGAGCTTCTGGCCATCTGGCAAATAATGTTTGGCTGGTTCACTCCGCAGCCGTGCTGCACCACCTGAGGCTGAAACAGACTCTTGTGATTGGAAGCTCAAAAGTGCTGTTCAACCTGTAATAGCAAACTATATTAGACCTTTCTTCCTTTTCTTGTTTCTTTCTCATAGCAATGGCCTCCACCCTAGTAGCTCAAAAGTGCTGTTCTCATGTCCTCTGCTGTTTTCTTGTCTGCCGCTGTCCTCACAGAGTTCGCTCTGAGCCTCCCACCCATTCGATGTAGAGCTCAGAGCCTTTGTAAAACGTCATCGTCCCCTGCACAAAGCGTTTGCTCTCGGCTCGGACGGTGTCCGATGAGTCTCTCTCTCTTTGTCTTTTTCTCTCTTTGTTTGTTCTTCATTCTTCTTCTCCATCTCCCTTCCTTCTTCGGCACCTTCATGGCACCCTCTTTGGTCTGATCATAGTTCCGATCCTCATCCTGCGAAAGCCGAATCGGAGCTTATGGCCTTGAGCCTTGCGGAGCCTTGCGGATTCTCGGTCAGTCCTGGCAAACCGGATTGCAGTTGTCACCGATCTGGTATCCACCTCCACATGTTCAACATGTCTTTCACAAAAATTGCATCTCCATCTTCGAACCAGACCAGCAGCATTGTTCTGCGAATCGAAGAGCCGGTTCCTGCAAGTTGCAAAAGAGTTGCTGTGTTTTGCTCGTTGTTACACGTTCGTATCAAAGGCCGAGCGGCTGATTCTGAGCATTGTTGGACTGCTCGCTGAGCCTCAGAGACGTAACGACGTACAAGACCGCACCGCCGGCGCACCGTCGCGCACCGCACACCGAGGCACTTGTTGTTGGAACCTCTAGGGTTGTGGAGGTAGACATCGCCCCGAGCCACCCAAGCCTCAACAGCTCCATCTGAGCTTGTTCCTAGTACGGGCAGCCCCTAGTAGAGGCCAGTAGCGTCCTTGCTAGTAGCGATGCCAGGAGCCCCTAGTAGCGAAACAGCTCGTTTTCGACATCAAAAATGTATTTTTGGCTGTCAAAGTGCCAAGTACAAAAAAATCCACATGCGTCGGGAAGAACTGAAGGAAATGTGAATGAACTATGAGTGAGATATGATCATTGTATACAGTTTGACCAAATAGCTTAATGAGTTGGTATTATAGGCTCCCCATGCGAGAACTCCAAAGCTCATGTTGTTTGTCACGAATCGGCTTGTGGCGTTCATTAATTAGACTACTGAGGAATTGAGCCTAAATACGCTGCCGATGAATTAGAAGCAATATGAGAAGCATACCTGTAGCAAATCAGTGAAAGGAGCACATACCATCGCAAAAATGAATGTGCTCCCGCAGCTCCTTCTTCGTTCTCGCAGCTACAGCTTCGCAGTGCCAAGCCGCGTCAGCTTTACAGTTCCTCCTCATGATCGTTCCAAGCAAGGCTTAAGGCCATCGCTAGTAGAAGAAAAAGGAAAAGGAAGGAAGGTCTAATGGATTGTTTCAAACAACTTCAGGTCAGGGGAAAGCTAGCAGGGCCACGTCATCTGCATGGTTCAACCCTCCCCCTAGTTGGGACCAGCAGGGGAGGCCCCAGCTAAAAACTTGCTAAAGCAGCTCCAGCTATCTGGCTGATGCTCCAGCTATCGTGATTTCGTACAAAGGTCCACCCAATGAACTAACAAGTTTTGATCTAAGACAGTGATCTGCGTGAGTCAATCATGAGTCTGCAGGATGCATTGCATGATACAAAAATACAGCATGTCCTTCGGATGCCTGATTCGTGGAGACTCCAACTCTTCCATCATCGTCTCTACGCAAGCCCCGGAATGACGCACCACCGCCTTCACAAGCGGTTTTGACCGTTTTGCAGCAAGGCTTTAGTAGATTTTAGTAGTAACAAGAAGCTACTAGTAACAAGTGCCACGCTAGTAGTAACAAGTGCCTTACTAGTAGTAACAAGAAGCTATTATATAATATAATTTAATTCTAATTTAATTAGGCCTCCGGTTGCCGGTTGCTAAGGCAGGTGCAGCGTAATTGCATCGGGAAGGTTCATCAAGAGATACCACTTCCTGTGCAGTGTCACGCTTCCAAACCCGCAGGTGGTCTCTTGGCATTTGCTTGTGCCGAAGGGTTGCAATATCCGCAACATGTCCACAGGTTTGTGTTACTTTGGATGCGATGATTGTTTTGTCATTAGACAACAATGTGGCCAATACACGAAACAAATATGCTCACCGTCAAAGCCACCAACCTTATCGGTTGTAATTTCCTGCGTAAATCAAACAAATTGTGTCCCGACTATGCAGCGGAGGAGAACCGGCGCTAAGTGAGAAAACCTGTTTGAAAGTCGAATGCTTGCAGAAACCAAATAGTAGCGTCCTTGCTCCTAGTAGCGATGCCCTTTGCTGCTAGCTTCTTGCTCCTAGTAAGACCAGGAGCGCCGCTAGTAGCGTCCTTGCTCCTAGTAGCGAATTGTGTCTTTGTTGCAACGAGTAAAACCTCTCTCACCGCACTCGTCCAAATCGTCCTCCGTTGCGCCGCACTGAAAGGAGACCTTTAAACTTCTCGCTGGGCCTCCAAAGCCTCAGAATGAGAGAGAGAGAGAGAGGGAGTCGGATAATTTTTGTGAAGAATTGGCAGTTAACAAGCAAAGTCGCAGTAAGAATGTATTGTTCTATTTGCTTCGCTTTTTGTGATTTCTCAAAATGGAACTTTCAGAGTCATTAATTATTTCTCTCAGTGTGTCTCCATCTGGTCTTGGGTTCACATCCTTTAATGAACAGTCCGATTTGTCGAAATGTCATGCACAGCACGTGTTTTCCCAAGGCAGGCGCATGCTTGCATGGTTAATCATGCTTGCACATGTTCAAGGTTTTGCCCCTGCACCCGCCTGCACCCTTGTTTGGTCAGTATTTTGCATTAAGTATTCTACACTCCTTGGTCCACTTGTTTGGTCCTTCTAGGCTTGCGACACATTTCACCATTCTTGAAGACGGCCTCCGTGGGGCTTGTGAAGCCTCAGTGCGCACACTTGACCACCCTGGAAATCCTCAACGAGCATTTCTGTTTTTCTTATGAAAGAAAAATAACATATACCATATATCACCTTTCTTGCCGTCGCGAAAACGTCACAAGGTCCATGTGGGGTCGTCCAAGTTTGGTACAAGACGAAACGGTATACGCCACACGTGTACGACGCAACGAAACCGCTTCATTCAGAGATGCAAAAAGAATAGCTCATCGCCGAGAAAGAAAAAGGCTGCAAAAGAACCCGAAACAGCGGTGATCTTATTTCTTCACACGCAACCTGCTCATTGTTTTGTAGACGCGCAAAAGCTAAAGAGCGCAGGGTAGACCCTTCCTGAGCCACAAATGTTGGCGCTGCCTGAGGGAGCAGTTATTGGCACATTTATCACCGCATGCCAGCCACAACTACTTCTTCAAGTTTTTGCCTGACGATTTTGTTGCTTAGCGCAAGAGTTCACTTGCTGCTCCACCAGTCGATACAACTGCATCTCGGCTGGACTGGCAGCATTTGTCAAATGCAACAAGGTTTGTTGTAGCTGCAGCAAAATACCAAACGATGTCAAGAGATGTCAATGCTCAGCACATTTCAAGCAATTATGTCCCTGGCCGGCCACCCTTGCTTTCCTCAGGTCTTGCTCCAACAGTCACTTGTGACATTGTCACTTTTGTTGCATTGTTTCTTTATTTACGGTTCTGGTCAAACTGTCCTGCTTGGCACTGGCAACTCTCAAATGTGCGTCTCTGAGGTGGTTGGATTTTGCCTGGAACCTTGCGTCGCCATCTTCGCTCACCATGTGATTCTTCGACCGAGAGTGGATGGACAGCTTTGCACGCGATCAATCAAGCCGGTTGGTGAGACCATGTGGCACTTAGTTGTGACTAGTCGGCCACCCTGGTGAAACTGGAGGCGAAAGCAAAGTCGCTTACGACGTTGGCTTGGGTCCAGTTCTTTCGCCACCAACGCTGCATCTTGCTTCCACAAGAACTCTCGGAACGGCCGGCTGACCATCGAGAAGGCGTTCGACGCCATTCTTGACCCCGCTCTGGGCAGCCGCTGTCAGCCTCTCGCAGACCTCCATCGCCATCAGGATCTTCCTCCACCCCTTCCTCCTCTTCGCCTTCACTATCTGCTGAGGCCCTCAGATCTAAATTTGTAACAAGAAGCTACTAGGAGCAACTAGGAGCAAAGGGTATCGCTACTAGGAGCAAGAACGCTACTAGGGGCTCCTGGCCGGACTACTAGGAGCAAGTAGCTACTAGTAACATACTAGTAGCAAAGGGCATTACTAGCAGTAGCAACAACGGAGCGGGTCCCACTTTTGGTTTCCATCAACATCTCCCGCGCGTTCCAACGCAGCGGCAATCGGAGGTGCGCGAACGGGGAGGAGGACAGTCCGGCAGAATATCTGGTTTTTGCAGAACCCCGAAATTCACTCACTGCCCCTGCTTTGGTTTGCGCGGCCGATTGCCGTTTTGGCTCGACGGCCTGGAATTGGAACTTCTCGTATGCAATACAATAGGGAAGGCCACCAGCGGTTCACTGTCTGCGCAAACATGCCAGCTCCAGCACACTCCGATCTCCGTCTATCGCTTGCAGCATGCATGGCATCACTCTCTTTGCACTAGACCTGTCCCACATGTCAGGCCACTAGCACTCCTTCACCAATGCAACTGTAATCACCTTGGCTGTCCCCGCAGTTGCTTCCAACTTAAGGGAACAAACTGTAGAATTCTTCCGAACCGTCTGCATCAAGGAGGTTCTGTCGTATTGAGTCAAAACTCTCCAGATTCGTCTGAATCGGAAGGGCTAGGCCAGTGGAGGTCCTTGTCTGCACTCTCCAGCCTTCAAACACAATGCCTACCCTGATGGGCTCGTACGTAATGCTCTTCGAATAAAACCTTGGCATTGGTCTCCTGAGCCATCCAAGAGGTCGACAACCCTTTGTGAGCTACGATTTGTCCGGCTGGCCTGAGTTTCCCGAGGGGGACCGGGCCAAACAAGTGGTGTAGAATGTAGAGGAACCGCCCCCACTTCCAGAGTGAGATCCAAACAGCCCCGTGGGGGGGGGGGGCAGAAACACTGAGGTGGCACCAGTGGGAATTCCTGCGCTACCGACACCAACCGCGCCGAACCGCCCCCTTAGGGAACGAAGGCACATGACAGCCAGGTTAAAAAATATGCCGGAGAGGGCGGCGACGTTGGTGAAGGAGTGCAGGTAACGATGCGACAGGAAAATGTAAGCGATAAAGATGCAGATGAAGATGGATATTGATAAGGGATGGTGCCTCACTTGCGCACACAAGATTGAACTCACCTGCGCACACAGCCCTTTTTTATACATTTAACTCACCTGCGCACACGAGGTTCGCTCAGCTGCGCACACATCGATTACATTCTTCATTAAACAGTGCATGCTACCTCCAACTCATCTGCGCACACAGACTTCGCTCACCTGCGCACACACAAGTTGAGTCATGATGATCTCTTTTTGCTCATTGCTTCCACGGTACCACGTCACACAGATGCTCTGCGTTTGATTGATGATATTGGGTTGGGATGGGGGGGTGGGGGGGTGGGGGGTGTTAATAACGTCCCTCTGGACATTCATCCACTCATTCATTCATTCATTCATTCGTTCGTTCATTCATTCATTCAGCCGAGCAAGCGGCGTGCACAGCCGAGGTGCGCGTGCACAAGCGAGTAAATCTATGCGCGTATACAGGCGAGGAAAATTCCGCGTGCACAGCCGAGCCTCCGCCCGCTGAGGCACACCAGAAGGCCCAAGAGGCTATCAGACCCGCAACAGTGTGGAAAGAGAAAAATTGTCAAGGGTAGCATCACGACAAGAAAAATGTCTTAGCCAGGCAATGATAACAGACAAAGAGTACGCAAGTACAAGCATCTCTTCGCGCCTTGCAGGAACCACTAGGAAACTGAACCCTGCCTAGACCGGACCAGCTTGGAGTTGAAGTGACTTTTGCTGCAAAGAAAACTCCATCTAGCTAGCGGCGCTAGCGCGGCCGGCGCGGCGCCTGAGGCCAGCACCATCCCAATTGCCTAATCTCGTGAAGGATTGCTTGGCATCTTTGAAGAAACAAAGCTTGTAGGTGTACCTGTGCTTATTCGACGCACCCTGTGCTTTGCTGAGTTAGCCGTCCCTAGCTGTGCTTAGCTGTGTTTGGTTCGAACGTGTCTGTTTGTGGACTTCTGATGGCTTAGCCTGAGATCTTTTGTTCCCTCTCAAAACAAAAAAACAATTTCTGTGCACTCAGAGCTTTTGAACTCCAAGCATTTGTCACGAAGACTGGCGAAGCCAAAATGCTCCTGACGGACAAATACTGAAGTCACCAAAAAGGAGCGTTCACAGACTTGCACCTTGAAACCGAAGTCGCAGCTTTATCGCTAGCAACAAGGGCATCGCTTTTAGGTTGGAGGCAATTGCTGCTAGCTTCTAGTAACAAAAGCACAGCACAAAAGCTATCAGTAACAACTGCTAGTAGTAAAAGCTTTCCTTTGCGCTGCTTCCACCCGAAGCAGACCGGCCTCACGCAACTCTTCCAGTTCCTTGGTCAGGCGAGACCTCAGATCCTCAAAACGAAAGAATTTCACCGTTTTGAACTGGCACCGCGAGGCGGACACAGTCCACACAAGGCGGACACACTTTAAAGCATTGAGAACACCAACAGTAGACTGCTTGGGGAAAACTTGTGTTTTGTATTTGTTGTGTCTTTTCAAATTGCTGATCTCGTTTCTCGGTATCTGTGCAAACAGTCTGAATAATTGTTCTTGTCATGCTGTGCGCTGTGCAGCACTCCTTGTTGCTCTTCAGCACTCCTTCCATCTCCTTCAACTCCTGGAAGCAAAGCTCTCGTGAAAGTGACGGACAAATCCGGCAAGAAATGAGTCTGGCATTTCGTTGCTACGTTCTACGGCCAGTATTCTGTTTGCAGTGCTAGGAGTACAGTGTCATCAGCGTAATAAATTCTGTCGAAACCAACACCTGGCCTTCTAGCTCCTAAAGTGTGTCTGTCCTCTACATCACTCATTACTATGAGGAACAAATGTGGATAGGACATCCCTGTCTTGTTCCCGACCGTTGCTGCTACCTTCTCAAAAGCCTTCTCCCAATCTAAGAAGGCAATGATGAACTTTGAACCCTGTTGCTTTGCAACTTCTCGCAAACGCCTTGCTAAGGACAGTGCATGTGAAGTGCTTCTAGATTCTAGATGGTCCATGTCAACCATTGTAAACCCATTGTAAACCCACATGGTTTCTTCTCCGTTTGCGTTCTGCTCAGAATCAGTTTGCAAAACGAGAACAAAACAAAGAATTGACAAAACGGTCCCGAAAAGCAGAGAACCGATGTCAATCTCTCAATTCTTCCAATGGCTTTATTGCCCGGGGGGGTAGGCTAGGTAGAGAGGTAGCTAGGTAGCTACCTTGCTTGTTAGCTGGACGGACCCAGGATACGCCTTTGCAGCGTGACGGAAACAATTTGTAGAGTACATTCAAAGCAATATCAACCGCCTTTCCACGCAAAGACACCTCTCAGTGTGAACATCCTCAGTGCACCCGCAATAAACTGTTACCGGACCCGAGACGAGACAGGGCCGACTCCGGGTCGCTGTGTCAAGTGTATCTTAAGCTTTCACGACCTTCGAAAAAGATCCAGTTGGAGCACCCGTCGAAAGAAACACCGTAAGAAACAGGGTCAGTTCGTCATGTTCATCCGAAGCCAAATTCACAATCCCCCATCAACAAAATTCGGAATGCCGGATGACTTCCAAAGCACGAACCCTTGAAATGACACCTGAATTCTGGAACGGATGGATACACCAGTACAATCTATCAGCAGGTGGGTTTGAACCTATACAGACTAAAAAGCATGGAAAAAACGAATCTTGTATCTCAACGCAAATCCTTCGAACAAGCTGAAGCGAGCTTTGAGGTTTGAAGGTGAATATGCGATGAATGGACATTTGAACTTGCTCTTGCGATCTTTGCTCCTTCTCCAAAGGATCCTCCTCCTGATCTGCTCCTTTTGGAGCGACGCTCGAGCACAGCGATGCTCGCTTGACTCACAATGCTCAGCTCAGCACTGTCGCTCGACACAGCGTTCGAGGCCACTCCTCCGTCCACTTCCTCGTGGACAGCGTGGTTTTCACTTTTCTTGGACAAATTATTCTTTCTTTTTTCTATATGGAAATTGTTTTCCCGTTTTTCTTGGAAGAACTCGCTTCATTCAAATTTATTTGTTTTGTAACTTCCTCACCCTTTTCGTGTTCCCGGTCGTGTCGTTTCCGAGTCGTGTCCTGAGTATCCTGAGACGTCGTGTCGGGTTCCATGTCCGTCTCATCCTGGAGTGCGCAAGAGCACGGACGAAGAACAAGTGAAGGGACTAAGCATTGAAGCACAAGCACTTTTGCTTCTAGGTTGGAGGCCATCGCAATTAGGTTCTTAGAGTGCGCACTGTAAGTGAAGTACAGCCAGAAAACGCAAACATAAGATACTTGCATATCATCCAACCAAGAATGAAGCAAGAATCAAAACGAAGACACCACCTCTATGTTATCCAATTTAAGGAAAATGGCATTTCTTGGCTCTGCCCACCCTAAATCTCACTTCGTTTGCCTAGTCAAACGGGCTTTCGAAACCATCACAAATGCTAGAACAGGGGAACACGAAGAGTTGACAAGAAAGTTACTCTCCTTCTCATCTTCCATGGCATCCGCACCATCCATCCATCTGCCACAGAAAATGGAGGTTCACAAAAGCCGAAACGGTTTCAATCTTTAAGTTCTGCTTCTCCCCAAAATGAACAAGTCGGTGATGCTTCGCATACTCGGACACAACCTTTTTCGTTGTCGTGCTTGTTGTTTCTCCTGAGCATTTTCGTTGGGAGCGCTCGCACAAATGATTTGGTTCCTCGATTTTTAGGAAAACTCAACTTAGAAGCAATGTTGCTTAAATAGACTTTTAAGAAAGGTCATTGCTCTTGGTTCTCATCAGTTCTTGTCCTTGTACTCTTGCCAACTGACTTTCTAAAGAAGCAAGCTTCTCCTGCAACAACAAGAGTTAATGTCTGAATGTCCCAATCATGTGTGTTCACGTACTCTCCTCCAAATCCTTGACTTTTTGTCTGAGCCTGCGACAAGATTAGACAGTGGGTCTGGGTGATATCAAATGTTGACGATAGAATTCACACAAAACTTGTGATAACGAAAATGACCAAGTCCATAAAACACAATACATCCAAATACAATCATATTCCTAGAACTCATGCATCTGCACAACAGCACAGAGCAACTTCTGTGAAGTTCACAGCTCTGAGGCTCTGTGCATCGCCTGGGCAGCTCTGTCTTGCAATCCGCCTGAAGCCGCACAGCATCGGCCTCCTCCTGATGGTCACAGTTGTTGTGCACTTACAGAAAAAGGTCTTCGTTCGCCTTCTTCTTGAGCAGCTCCGTGAGTTGCGCTTCCAATCCAGGGAGTTCCCCATTGATCCTTGAGAAACTCAGGAGCGCCATGCTTGACTCTCTCTCTCTCTCTCACAGTTAGTTGGGGACCGTCGTTTTATAAATTTGGGAGATGGGGCTCACGGCCTTTCCGCGGTAGGGGAGAAAGAGACACCCCAATTTTATCAGCGATGTGCTGATCAACGATGCGAAGCTAAGACCTTCCACTGCTGCCTTCCTTCGAGATCGGCGAATTCCAAAACCTCCAATCACTCCTCTGAATCTGCTCTTCTTTCTCCTGTTTCTGCTGCTTGGCCTCCAAGAAGGAAGCGCTTCAAATGTCTTTGCACTTCGCACCCACTTTCCTGGGAGATGGTCTCCAACTTCACCTTCAAACCAGCACCTGCAAAACACAAGCGGTTGTTGGCGTCTGAAAAACCTCCGCTATCGGCGTCTGGCGTCTTTCATTTGTTCGCTTCGAAACTCATGGCGTCTGCACGCAAATCTTCCAGCTTCTTTTCCCTCTCAGCACTCTGCCTTTGACCTCACAGAGAATTCACCGAATTGATTGTTTTTTAAATTGCGTTTGGGTTCTTGTTCGCTCCTTCTTCGCGACAGGTATTTGGGCCTCAGAGTTCGCTGAATGTTTTAGAGTTCACGTTGAATGCATCTCTCCAAGGCCGCAGCAAGCACGTTGGCCTAGTAAATGCGCCTTCCAAAAAATGTCCACACAAAATGTGAAAAAGGCCTCATCAGTTTCACTGAAACGCCTCATCGGAACCGTCGCAACAATCACAAATTCCATCGCCAACTCTGGATGCGTATACCTGTGAGAAAAGGCTCACAAGAATCGGAATTCAACCGTTGTTCCATTGCTGCGAAGTTGTTTAAAGCTGTCTCAACCTGAGAGATCTTTCAGCTGTCGGAATCTTGGGTTTGCTGCTTGGTTCGGCACCACTTGAGGTGTGCTTTCCACGTTTGGACAGTGAAATAAAGTGGCCTGTCAGGATCAAAGCATTTACTGGCACTTCAGGACCCGCCAGGACCCACAAATGATAGGAGCACCCCGAACGTAGCGATTCGTAGCGATGCCAGGAGCCCCATTCGTAGCGTCCGATCGCTCCTAGTAGTAAGGCCAGGAGCTACTAGTAGCGTTCTTGTTACTACTAGTAAGGCACTTGTTACTAGTAGCGATGCACTTGTTCCTAGTAGCGTCCGATCGCTCGTAGTGTTGTTTGCTGCATTTGGCTGTTCCACCTCCTGTCCGGAACACGCTCCGGTGCCTGAGCATTCGGAATTTTTGCACTCAAAACCAAAAAAAACGTGCATTCTAGTAACAAGTGCCTTACTAGTAGTAACAAGAACGCTACTAGGGGCTCCTGGCCACGCTACTAGTAACAAGTGCCACGCAATGAGTTAACAAGAGTGCTCACACCTGGTTCATCGGAACCATCATCACAATCGCAATAATCATCGTTGATTGCTGAAAGAGCAACCTGCCAACAAGTGCCACGCTACTAGGAGCAAGAAGCTATTATCAGTAACAAGTGCATCGTTTCTAGTAACAAGTGCCTTACTAGTAGTAACAAGTGCCTTACTAGTAGTAACCATATATGCATGGCCCATCACTCAGAACTTGCACCTCCTCACCCCCGCAATGTAAGCTTTGGAGGTACTTGCTCTGGACTTCTGGAGCAACACCTCAATTCGGAGCAACAGTGTAAGTCTGAACAAGCAAATTATGTAGTAACAAGAAACTACTAGGGGCTCCTGGCCTTACTACTAGGAGCGATCGGACGCTACTAGGAACAAGAAGTTACTAGGGGCTGTGTCTGAAGCCTCGGATCACTGCAGCAGGCGAGCCTTGGAGCCACAAGTGCACCACAAGCACACGGCTGGACCAACGGCTCAGCTGAAATCTGAGCGCCCCGCAAGCAAAAACACTGAGCAATGTGAACTTCATCTCTGCTCATGCGCTTTTCAAAAAGTTGGAAACAATTGTTTCCCATTGGTTGTTGAGCACGCTCATTAAGGATTGTCGGATTGTCCATCGTAACAATCATGGGTGCACAAAATGAACCTGATTGCAAGTTTCATTACACACGCTGTGATGCGTTGCAGTATTGCACATGTGAACCAAAACGGCTGCCAACCCAAAATTGGCATTGCTTGTTCTTGATGCTCAAAACCACAAAAGTTAGAATGTGCGAAAACCTGCAACATATGCCGCCACAGTTTCTTGTGTCTTAAATGTTGACGAAAACATGTTTGTTTGCCCGTTTGCCCCACTGAAGCTCTCACCCCGGTGGTCTTTATCTTCTAAAGGTGGGGAGAAACGAAACGACGGCGGGGGGTAGGCCTTGTGCGTTGTTTTCGGGTGAGGTCCGTCACTTAAGACGGGTCCCGTCCCTCCCTCCCGGAAATGCATGATGTAATTCTCTGCTTATCTTCGAAACGTGGGAACCAAGCAAACGAATTTTTCTCAGCAGCGAACCACGAACCCCCCATTCTCAACGCATCACCTCTAGTCCAGTGGAAACTCAAGCGAGCCGCATTAGCCGCCTCAAGCGCAACGAACTTGCCTCAACACGGCTTATTCAATCACTTGCTTTCAAAAACAGTTTACACGCTGTTCCCCCAAAAAACTGGAGGCTTGGGAAAAAAACGTTACCACCAGTTTTTTTTGCACGAGTGCGGACGCCATGTGTGCGGTATGCACAGGTCATCATGAGAAGGGTGGAAACTCTGCATGTTTGAGAGGGCAACACCAAACAAAGGAAACAAGCCGCAACACACAACACAAAACTCCCAACACGAAAACCAACCAAAACGCACCCAAACAAACTTCGCCGAGTTTCGCGCTGTACTCAAAGGTGAAACAAGTGAAACCTGAGAGACACTGCTACCAGCTACTCAGGCCTTGAATTCTCAAAGTCTTCAAAGCTTCAGCTGCTTATTCTTGCAATGCGGTTAATTACCTTCCAGCTGAATGCAAACAATGCCTGTCCACAGGCGACCTTCTGGATTGCTCTAGAGGCACGTCGGCCCTTGCCATGGTTGGGCCGGAAGTAGTTTCAGCTGGCTTCAAATGGGATGGCAGTGTCTGAGGGTGCACACAGAATGCAGCAATCGTGGCTGGCTCATGTTTTGGTCAGGACCAGCACATGGGTGCAAGCCTGAGCTTTTGGCATGGCTCAGCAAAGCTAATGTAGGTCCTTGCTTTTTTTTCCACGAGTACGGACGCCGTGTGGGCATGGTGCCCACGTCATCGTTGAAGGAAGGGAAGAGCAGTCAGATGGTGGAGAAAAGAACAAAGACCCCAAAACCAACCCAAAACCAAGCACCCAAGCCCGCAGGCCGAAACTCCACCATCTTGTAGTCTTTCCTCTACACTGGGTGAAACATGTGAAACGGAAACTGATGGCAATTTATTTTTTTTTCCACGAGTACGGACGCCGTGTGGGCATGGTGCCCAGGTCATCATTGAAGGGAGGGAAAAAACAGACTGATGGTGGTAAAAACAACAAGAAGCACCAACACAACCCAAAAACCCTAAAAACCACAACAAAAGGCCCACAGCCAAGTTTCCACCATCATGTAGTCTTTTCACTGTGCAAGGTGAAACAGGTGAGACGAAAAAGAGTGTCTAGACGGGGGCCTGAATTCACCGAAAAGCATATCGGCGCAGGAATGTGCTCAAGCAAGGTCGCAAAAAGGCTTCAAAGGGACCTCACTTCGCAGTATGAATGACCAGCAGCCACACCCCAGTGCGGCAAAATCATGGTCACAATTCAGGTCAACACCTCCGTGCGGAGTATCGCAGTGCTTCAACGTCGACTTCATCCCTGGCAAGTGGGGTGGCGTAACTATGCGGTATGCCGTGGAAAAGACCGTTCTTGTGGCACAACCCGTTCAACCGGTTGCACTTACAAGTCCAGTGGCATGCTGCCAATCCGCAATTCGTAAGTGGCGGCCATAATCGACGAAAGCCTGCAGGCAAAGGTGCGAAAAGGCCGCCCCCCATTGGGAGGTCAGCCTGGCACTCATTGGCACTCAAAGGTGCCAAATAGCAAGCAAAGTAGGGTGTCTTCTTGGTCTATGGATCGCCGCACCATTGCAAAAGGTGATCGACTGCATGCAAGGCCCTTGTGAAAAAGGTGAAACAGGTAAAACTTTGGAATCCTAGCTTGGTACTGGGGAGGCCCTCTGTGGCGAGACCGGTTTTTGCTGTGGTTTTTG